TTATTTGAGATTTGGAAGGCGGTAAATAACATATACCCCACCGGGTTCAAATTGGTGATACTTAAGGGATTATGTTATATTTCATACCAGAGCCTCCCTGAAGATCGGTTCGGAAAGATTCAAATGAGCTGGACCCCAACTCTTCTTGGCTCTGATCCAGGCACTGTTCACGAGCAGCTCGATGGGGATGAAATAGTTCAAATATTGGACTGTAAAGAACAATACAAAACCGCAGTTCAGAAAATTTGAACGCTAAATTTTTTGTTTTTAAATTATGATAAATTTAGCGCTTTAAGTCACATTATTATTATTTTTTTTTATATATTTATTATTTTTATTTTTATTTTCATACGTTTATTATAATTATCAATTTTATCTATTCATTATTATTTTTTTCGGAGCGGGGGAAACTGGACCATTCATTAATACTTGGGAACAGCCTAGTTCCTTGTTCACGCATTCACGCAGAACACGCCTCCCCCATCGGAGGATTACTTACAATCGTTAGAGCCGTATCCGTAATACGAATAAGGGGAGAAGAGCGAGGAGGTGTCAAAGTATCCCTGCGTCCGGATTTTATAGCGCAAGTTTTTCTCGTCGTCCCCGAGGAACACGACCGCGCCTCTGACATCCATCTGCATCATCGTCCCTGATTGCAGCTGACTCAGTTTCAAGAACGCCAGGAGGTCCTCCTCCGTCCGGAAGGTCCGGATCTTGCCTGATGGAGGAAGGCAGGTTGATTGCATGGGATGTGTGCCGCGGCGGCGATGGGGATTCCTCGCGTTAGAGGAAATTCGTGAAAATGTAGCAAGCAAATCATGACGATAACGGATGCAAGAAATTGTCGATGAGCAAGTTATGCAGATTCCGCTTAATGTTTGCCAATCCGCGTTGACGTTGCACATGTGAAAGTGAGGGTGGATCGTATAATTTGACCGGCATGAATATTTTCAAAGCAACTGTATGGTGATATCCCCGGTCATTCCCTCTTCACAGACCATCGCTACAACAGGACGCAAGAGCGAATTAAAGGTTGTCGGAAATTTTTTTGCAAATCTCGAAGAGCCTCGAAATCGAAGAGAATCGGTGAACTGACTCGACCCAAGGGTTTCCCGTAGCAATTTAGTGACGTTCCTCGCCACCTCCGTTTCGTTCAAGGCGAAGAGGAGCGGCCCCGACCCATACCACCAGGAAAGAAGTTCTCGCTCGTCCTTCGCCTGGTAGATCTCGTCCGGGAACGTCTCAGTCCAGCCATCCGACCTCGGTTCGCGCGTCAGGAAGAACAGACCGACGAAGAGGAGGATCGGGATGACGACCTCCATGCCGGTCAGCACCGGATGCCTCCACCGCAGGAACAGGTTCTTCCACACGAGGAGGACGAACTTCCTCGCGATCCCGGCCATCTCGAGCGATCAGCTGAAAGGATTCCGACCGGTGGCTCTCATCACTTCGAGTAACTCTGGAAATTTCTATTCAGAACGAACTTTGCATGTTCCTTTCGGTTTTATACACAGAGTGAAATGAATGGAGATGGAGATATTGGCTCACAATAATTTTTTTTGCACTAGGGACAGAGACTGAAGAAAGAACAGATCTCATACCCACAGTTGGATTTTCTCCTAAAACTCCAGGTATCTCCGATGGATCTGTGGAAACCGCAACGGACTTAACATCACTCACCTGCTTTTTCGTCGAAGCGAAGGAACCGAGCGATAGAGTCAGCGTTCCCGCAGGCGACTCGAGAAAGACTGGAGGAAAGCGAACCGGATCCCAGACGCGTCATGGAGTCGACGGCCGCACGTCGGGTGGCGTTGGCGTCCTCGCATTCGCACCGAGATGATAAGGGAGGACCCTACATCCCGAGATGATAAGGGAGGACCCTCCCTCGATTGCGAGGAACGCGCTGTTCCATCGTCTAAAGACAGGCTGGGCACAAAATTTCCTCCTTTTTTATTCTGCTGCTAAGTTTTACCGAATTACGTAAGGCGCTTCTCATGAATGGCATCATTTATGAGTATGCGGCGGCCTGCGTTTCCACTTCTCAAGTGGTCGCGTCTAAAGTGCCTGATTCCGCGATCTCGTTTCAAGTGCCTATCCGTTCCGTCTGAAAGAGCAACGTATTTGACGGAAACGTATTTGTT